CAATTATATGCTCGCCAACAATCAAAGTAAACCATCGTATCTGGTAGAATGTATTCCTGGATGATTGGCAACAACACCTCTCTCGAGCGAAAATCCACGGGCACAACAAACGCTTTCGATGGTTCAGAACGTAGCACGCCGCCAAAAACCCATTGGCCCTCAACTCTTCTGCCACGATTTTATTTGCGTTTTCCAATTTTACATTCGTCCACTTCAACAATTTCGCCCAGGCCGCCAATTGATTCTTTCACACTGTCTCGATAAAAAACACATACTTCTCGATAAAAGGAGAACCAGTCGGTGATTGTGTGATTAGACATATTTAATTCACTCATTAAAAAGCGGACGCGTAGAGGTGGTAAATGAACTGCATATGCAAGAAATCTTAAAATGGTTTCCACACTTAAATGAGACCTGCTAAAAAAGGTATTACAAAAAACTGAACGTTGAAAGTTACACTTTTTTTGTGCTTACTTCTGTCTGTGTAAGACTTTTGACACCGATAAGACTTAGTGGTCCAATTTAACCGAACATCGGAGCCGCAAGTTGGACACGTAACAGAGTTAGAAATCATCCCACGTCTCAGTAAAAATTCTTTAACTTCATCGTTACTTAAAGTTAAAATAGTAACGTCCACCACTCTTAACGTACAACTTCCACACGATTCCATTCTTACGCGAAACTTGCCCGAAAAAATTCACAGCAACAGAAACACTCAAACACACAAAATTCAAATCGCCCGCAGAAATTGACACCTATCAAAACATTAGTTCCGTAGTTGACCACCAAAACGCTGCGCGACAGACGACAGATGAACAGTTGCCGCTTGCTGCGGTGGTTAGTATGTGTTTTTCTATGTCTTTGTGCCTTCAGAAGAATCAATTTTTATTTCGTTTTTTTCGCTAAGAAACCAATCATTCTAGTTTTCCGCAAGCGGAATCCTTCTTCTTAACTCATTAGAAGCGTAAAAAACCTTGGTTGAAAAGAATTTGTGCATAATTCGGAAAAGTGTGTAAACTGCAAATTTAATCTTACTTTGTAATGTTTTTCATTTCAAACTTGTAAAAAATTATCCAGACTCTGCTTTGCTGTCTTCATAATGTAATAGAATGGGGCCCTATCACTTACGTTTTCGGACCACATTCCATTATGCTTTCTAGCTCATTCGGGCCGAAAGCCATCGATTTTGCAAGTGCGGGCTCAGGCGTCAGCATTTGGATGTTTAGAGTTTACATCTCGGAGTGCCGATGTATCTCGCAATCACGTCTTTGACGTCATCGCGTCATCGGATGCTACGAGATGTATGCTCTCGAGATTCGCGGCGGATTCATTGGTATTTCGTATCCGGTACCTACGAGGCAGCGAGTAGAGGAGCATCTAGCCGTCTAGCTGGAGTATAGTGCATCCTGTGTATACTGTTGCTTTCTATTTCGAGATATATATCAGCTCTACCATTTCGAGTTACGTGTACGGATCATTTCATCCTCCCCCCAATAAGAACTCAGAATTGGAATAAAAAACAAGCCTTACCTGATACTAATGTGCATAAGGGTAGAGGAAGAAACGCCTGTTTGTCCCTTTGGCCAACCATAGAATATCCTTTACCGAACTGGTCTGTGAAGAGCGTTGAACACATTTTACTTGCTGAGGAATTAATGTCTCTGCACCGGAGCAGCTCTACGTGATTTACATCGCGCGCTAATAACGTTATCACAAACGTTTCTGCGATAAAAAAAATCTGGCAACCTCAATCTTGACACTTTGGCTCAGCTATAGCAAATTACTTGTAGTTTGAAAAACACATGGTGGGAAATGAACATTGACAATTAGACACATTATTTTAACTAAACAAACTTGAACAATGGAGTAATCAACAAAATATAGCACAATTCGTTTACAATTCTTCTTCTTCTCACAGTGGGTCCTAAGGGTAAAAGGACCATACTTGGTACCGGGAAAAATATTAATTAACTCAATATTTTCCCCAACTTTGTAAGAGGGATTTTTCCCTGGGAAAAATCTCGTGAAACGGCCCGTGGAGGCAAGGCCTAACAGAATGCTTGAATCCGTACCTTGTCTGGCGGTCCATTTCACGACTGTTAAGTTGAAAAGCGATTTATTTCTGAAGCTCCTTCATTTTCGCAGCTTTCTCCCAGTCCGAGTATTTCTATAAATTGGTGCAAGCAGCTGATCGCCTCGAGTCGTAACTTTTAATCATCCGCGCACAGATGCTCCATACCCGGGCGCAAAACAGACGCGGATAACACCGAACAACACTACACCGTAAACAAACCCGGCTCCCGTTATCGGATCGAAAAATGACGAGGGAAGCGGAACATATTTTTTCTCTAATGGGCGCACTAAAGATGGAGGAAGACAGGTTGAGAGACCGAAAAATACGAAAATCGTCTCGACTTATGACGGGGCGATTCAATTTCCTCGAGCCATTGGCGTCCCTCGACGCCCCCGGGCCCCGTTTACGCCACTCCTGGGTTTACTCGACTCACTCGGGTCATTAGTTCTTCTCGATTTAAGACACATCCTAGTTCGCTTGCCCCTTCCGCCCCCCCCCCCGGTCCCCTCGGCCTTCTGCTCCGTATCTCATGCGTTAAAGGCCAGATTAACTTCCACGCGTCCTCATCGCGAAGCACACGAGGGTCAAGAGGCTTGTGATAGTGGCAGTTCAAGGGAGCGGAGACGGGAGGGGGCGGGGGGAAGGNGGGGTGGGGGGGGGGGTTTCGGGTGGGCGGCATCCGTGGGCGCAAAATGTCAACGACTGAAATTGTAAAATCCGCCCGAGGTTTCCACGCTCTGGGAAAACTTCCGTACATTTTGGGAAGAATACGCTGGTCTTGGCTTATTCACTGGGAAAAAAAACACATTGGATCCAGAGTCACGACTCTTAAAAACATCGGAAAGAAAAAATACTCTTGATTCAATCAGATGTAAGTTTAAATCAAGAACCAAGCCTCTTAATTTGTGCGGATTTCCTTTTGATTTAAGCTAGATTCTGATTGAATCAAGAGTACTTTTTCTTGTCAATGTTTTCAAGAGTCCGGACTCTAGATCTAATGTCCTTTTTTTTTTTTTTTTTTTTTTTTTTTTTTTTTTTTTTTTTTTTCTTTTCTTTTCTTTTTTTTTCTAGTGTTCATTACTGAGATTCATCTATAGTCGTATTCTGAGGGGAAATTTGTTTTGAGTAGTTCTGAGTACCTTTAGTCGAAGTTTTTTTCTCCTGCTAAAAATTAAAAGTTGTTGACAACAATGTCAATAGATCAGCTGCCCTCTAGGCTGAGCCCTCTTGTATTTGTGTGCCTAGTTCAGTTAATCATTATATCTCTTACTGTTCACCTAGTGAGTATTTATTCTTGTTTTACGGAACGAAAGTTGAGCCAAACACTTAAAACGTGAAACTAATCGTTAAGCTTTTTCCCTTTAAATTGAGTCATATAGAGGTGTAAATTTTTAAATATTTCCTTTCGGTTCAATCTTAATGCGAATCCGTTTTTCTTAAACTCGGCTAAACTGGATGTATACGCAATTCGCGTTAATGTAATTGACATGTTTTTTGCTCCCTTCGCGGATTGCACCGATGAAAATATTTGTGTCTTGTGTTACTTTTGATTAATATAAGAACACAAACTAACACAAATTTTGTGTTGAAGTAGGTGCAGTATGCGGTGAATTCAGCGCAGAAAATATACGGGAGACTGGAAAAATGCATTCCTCCGATTTCAACGTTGGTAGTCAGTAGTCAACACTCGTTTCTTATTAAATTTCTACGAGAAAACTAGCCGGTATTTTCTTCTGAAATTGTCAACCACAAAGGGTTATTTTGTGTTTTACTTCCTGTATTAACCGAACTTTTGGGGTGAAATTTTTCTCCGTGTGGGTCAAATACAAGTCGCAGCCACACAAACGGCAGGGCGTGAAGAATGATTATGTTTGCGTCAATAGAATCGCCTTCATTTGAAAATATAGGCCAAACTAACTCCTAAGATCACTAATAGTGGTATCTACAGAACGAGTATTTATCGCTTTAAAGGTATATACAACTCAGACCATGATGTATTGACGCTAAGGTAAGGGAATGCACGTTTGTTCTTTTTGACTCCGTCACTTTCCGGCCAAAGTACCTCAAGCCCCATGCGACTTTTACTTTCCGCCGCCGTTTTATTTTTTTACAAAGAAATTTTTCAACGAAGCTGTCCGGAAACTTCACTGGATTTTCTTTGTGCCGCCAATAAAAGTCAGTGAAATTTTGAAACAGATTCAAATAACATAATAATTTCTCTTAAAAAATAAAATGGCGGCGGAAATTTTGAAACGTTGCATGGCGCTTGTGATTCTTTGGCCGGAAGGTGACGATTTATTGTCCCTATGCAGGATGTCTACAAGTCCGGAAATAGTACTGATTTCTTAAGGGCAGTCCAGAAGTGTACTGAAAAAGTGCGAAAATTCCGCAAGAAGGTCCGGAATTTTTTCATTTTCTCGTCATTTTTGTCGCGATTTGAGCGAAAAATTCAAATTTTTGAAATTTTTCGAATTTCGTCGAATGGAGGTACTGATAAAGTACGGAATTTTTCTGCTGGAGGAGGTACTGAATTTCGTGGGAATGTAATGAAAAAGTACTGTAAAAGAACTGATTTTTGACCAGCCTGTTTTAGTAGGCACCCTGCTATGGATACACTGGAAAAAAAGCACGTTGCATGGATCTAGAGTCCAGACTCTTAAAAACATCGACAAGAAAAAGTACTCTTGATTCAATCAGAATCTAGCTTAAATCAAGAACCAAGCCTCTTAATTTAAGCGGATTTCGTTTTGATTTAAGCAAAAATCCGATTGAATCGAGAGTATTTTTTCTTGTCAATGTTTTCAAGAGTCTGGACTCTAGATCCAATGTGTTTTTTTTTCCCAGTGTGGTATGAAAATGTGGTGTTTATCCTGGTGTACTTGTATTGTTCGGGCGATGTCTTAGTCTATTGTGTGGGTTGTTGCAGGATGGCTGGGGGCCATGTCGACGGCGGTGGCGCTGTTGCTGTCTCCGGTGACGTTGGCGTTCTGTCGGCGCAAGTCCACCCGGCTCACGGCCGTCATGGGCGGCCTCGTCACCGCGCTCGGATGCCTCTTCACCTCCTTCGCCACCCAGTTCCATCAGCTCTTCTTCAGCTACGGCACCGTCATCGGTAAGACTTACCATTTACTTGAAATTTTCCCTAAAAATTCTGCCCAGTCCCCAGCGGGCTCATTGTTGATGTTTATGGACAAAGCTATAGACAACGAAGATAAAAAGGATATGGAGAGACCCTATGGGTGGAAGTGGATGATTGCAGTGGACAAAGGAGGTAGGTAATAGATCCACGAGATACACTCGAAATGGACCGCGTTAAACAGAAAGGAACCAAGCCACATCAGCTACTGCCAAATTTAATCGGGCAATTCAAGTTTTTACATAATAACGGTTGTGCGGATTTTTGTGCAAATTTCAGTGAATTTTCTTCATAACACAAAGCAACTTCCTTAAAATTTTCAAAGGAATCCGCGCAAAAGTTCTCTCGTAAAAAATAATTTTCCGTTAAATTTGGCAATAGCTGTTGTGGCTTGGTTCCTTTCTGTTTAACGCGGTCCAAATAGTCCATTGTTTACTCCCTCAGTCTATGAGAACCACGAATTTCAACCAATAGGATCGCTCCATACTCCCTATGTCTTTTGTGTCTTCAGCTTTGTCTATCAATTTCAACAAACAGCCCACAATGATGAGGTGTGCATTAAAGGACTTCCTAGTATGTTCCCTCCTCAAAATTTAAAGAGGGAAACGAACGGTTCTCAGGACTTGGGTGAAACAGTCAGACGCAGGAGTTTGTTTTATGGGTCAAAATAAGACTTTTTTGTCGTATAATGTTTCTTCCAAAAGTGCCCCCAGTCGGAGCTACGCCCCCCCCCCCCCCAAAAAAGAGGAAAAAATAATTCGGAAAGTAAATCGTTTTCCCAAATTTTGGCAACGGTTGTAAACCAAATCTCACGAACATTTGCACTCCATTGTACTTTTATGCCCTGAATTCGTTTATGATCTAAAAAAATCGAAATCTCAATTTTAAAAAAGGGGGTTTGGGGATGACTCGGCTCCTGCAGTCTGGCCGTTTAACCATGGATCACCCTGTAAACAATCCTAGCTTGAGCACACTTTAACTATGCAGTTAAAAATCCAAAAATTCCGAAGGGAAACCGTGAAGGCTACTTCAATTTTAATCTACCATCGCATTGCTAAGGCGCAACGATACAACTATTCGTACTCTGCGGAATACGTGAGGTATCACGCCACATTTGCAGGCGTTTTCAAAACTGTCAAGTTTCGATACAGGAATTGTCGTTTCGCACAACATAGGGAGCTCAAGATCAATGGAATGATAGATCTTACGAGCCAACGTAACAGTTGAGTGGACATTGCCTTCTTTTAATTTTTTCATTAAAATGTATAAAAATGTATCCGTCCCTGAGTTTAGATCTTTCTTAGTGTTCTGGTTAGTTTCTGGGTCAGTTACTTGATCTAATCCTTGGTCAGTAGTTAGGTCTGTTTGCTGGTCAGTGTTACTTTCGTCTCTGAATGAGAGATTGTATGTACTGTGGCTGGAGCTACCATCCATGCTGGCGAGACTCCGGACGTTTGGTGTCTGAAAATTGGTTTCAATGTGTTTAAAAAGCGTAAATACTTGAAACGAAAACACAGCCACGACGTTTCGCTAAAAGCACTTAATAAACCTGAAAGAAGCAATAAATGAAACATCCACACAAGGAGTTGTGCTCAGAACTATTGCACCAGCCCTTAAGTCATTTCATTGATCTTGTACTCGGAACTTAATATGAAACGACAATCCTTGTGCGGAAACTTGACGGTTTTGAAAACGCCTTCAATTGTGGCGTGATACTTCACACCTTCCGGAGAGTACGAATAGTTGTATCATTGCGCCTTACCGATGGGACGGAAGATTAAAATTAAAGAAGCCTCTACGCATGCTGTCCTCGGCGGTTTTACTTTAACATGCCTGCAGTTGTGAAAGTTTGCTTAAGCTAAAATTGTATTAACATACATTTAAATTTTACTAACAACAATAAAATACAAAGAAGTACAGTATAAATGTGATTGGAAGGTAGAATAGAATGAAAAAACATTTAGGACGTTTCGCGCAAATTACACGCTTCCTCTCAAGTAAATAAATGCTTTAAATAAAAACTTTACTCAAGGAGATATGCGCGAAACTGTTATATTAGTCCGTAAGACCTGTCTTGATCTTGCGCACCGAATGTTATGTGAAACGATAATCCCGGTATCGAAACTCGGCGGTTTTGAAATCGCCTTTATTTGTAGCGTGATACCTCGCGCATTCCGAAGAGTACGAATAGTTGTATGGTTGCGCCTTACCATTGCTATGGAAGATTAATAATGCGAAGTAGCCTCAACGGCCACGCTGCGCTGGCCTTATCAAACTATCTATTACGAGAAATTGGTTCGCCTACGTTTCTCCTCAGCTGGGCAAAAATCGAATGTCACTGAGAAAATATGCTACAATCGGAAAACGCTAGATTTAGCCGGTGACGTCTAGAAACAGTTCCAAGATGAGTTGGATTACCTTTACAACAAGAAACTACTGTCTCTGGCTCGCCCGTAAAAGCTCAAATCTGCAAAGGGAAATCAATGTCGTGTATGTTGTTTCTAAAAAGGGTCAGTGAAAGTGCTTCCTTATCGCCAAATGGATTACATTTTGCAATAAGGAACCACTATTTCTGGCCCATTTCAGAAACAACACAAATGCCATTGGTTTCCCAATGCAGATATGTGCTTTCATGGGAGAGCCAGAGATGGTGGTTCCTTATTGCAAAATGCAATCCCAATGTAATCCAGTTGCTAATAGTGAGGTGCCGCCTCGCGAAAGAAGCCGGAAATAGGCGAAAAAATTATGAAGTAGCCAAAAGTAGCTGGAAATAAGTAAATATGCCCACGACGAAGCAAAAATGGCCTTTGGAAAAAGCTTCCAAAGAACATACGAATCCAGCCGTTAATTTGGGGAGGAGAGAGAGTGTCGTCAAAACAGAGAATTGTTATGGAACTAACATTACTCGAGATTAGGGTCGAAGTCACCATGATCTCAGGTTTCAGTGCTCAGCAACAGAGTCTGTTGATGCTAAGACTTGAGCTGCAAGGATTATAATGTTGATGTCTTTGAACCAGAATCAATCCAACTGCACATACACATTGCCTAATTTCTCCTCATGTAGCATTTGTCGAATAGGAAACTTCGCAACATTTGTCGCGTGGAATAATATTTCATTATCTACATGAAAATCGCTATCATTTTGAGGCATTGTTCCACCTATGCAGGAAATAAAGCAAAGATATAAAGCAGGAATTAAAATCACGCCACATAATTCTTTCGAAATACGCCCAGACTATTGGTTCTAGCTCGGTTGGCGGCCCGGAGTCGAATCAGAGGTGTGACGTGCTTCGCGATATATCGATTGATCTGCCAATATACCTACGACAAAGGATCGATAGACAGAATTTTCGTAACAATTTTTTTATTAACTTCATTAATCGATTCTGTATCATAGCTTCAAATGGGAAAGTATCGACTATCGATCATACACGCCATGCGACTGAGTCGAATACAGATACGATTCCATATGAGCATTGCAGCTGCGTTACTGCAAATCGCAAATCGGTAATGCTACATTCGAAGACGAAATCTGTGTCCGACAATGAAATAAAATTCGATATTAAGAGCCAAAATACTTCGTCCCTACTTCCACGTCTCCTCTTATCCCTCGATCGTTTTTACCGGGGCGCTCCTATCTAGCACGCTATACTACCTTCTAAGTAAGAACGCCGTATGAGCCAACAGACGTTGCCAAATTTCCTTCGACAAATCACGAATTCGAAGGGAAATTTGTGAACATTTCGCCTCCGATTTTTCAGAGGATTTCGTCCGTAATTTGATCTGAAAAGCCTGGGAAATTCCAGGAAAAATAGTCATAACTGTCTGCAAAAATGGCTATTTTCTCAAAAGAAATTTGGCAACGTTCGAATGCTCATACGACGTTTTTACGTAGCACGGTCGTATAGCTTCAGCGAAGTCGTCCACCTTTACAAACGAGGGAACAAACAGAACTAGTCGTCTCGCCTCGGACAGAAAGACGTAACTCGTTTTTATCGTGAGCCGTGAAAAACGTGGAGTCGTCGCGCTGACGCAACCGATTTCGAAGAGCACTTACGTCTTTCTGTCGACTGCCAGCGTCGGTAGCGAGCACTCGAATTTCAGCGTCGCCGTCGCGATGTCCTTTGCCCGCTCTCGGGTGCTGCACCCCCCTCCCCCCCCCTCGAGGATTTTTATGTGCATGCGAATCATGCGATGCGAGAGTGAATCGTCTGCGTCACAGCGATACCCTTCCGTAATGGCTCCCCCTCCCCCCCCCCACCCTTTGTTCCGCTCCCGAAACGCAAATGCTTCCTGACGCACTAAAACAACATAAATTACACGGGCTTGTCTTGCCGGTCGTTGTGGCCACGTTTGGCGGAAAAATCGCCCGGGTTTTTCGTTTCTGTGACATGAGGGCTTGTGATGCTGCGAAACCTCCGCGGACCCCATTTTGCCTTCAAGGGCCGTCCTTAAATTCCGTAACACTGGAAAAAAAACACATTGGATCTAGAGTCCAAACTCTTAAAAACATCGACTAGAAAAAGTTATCTTGATTCAATCAGAATCCAGCTTAAATCTTGAACCAAGCCTCTTAATTTATGCGGATTTCGTTTTTATTCAAGCAAAAATCCGATTGAATCAAGAGTATTTTTTCTTGTCAGTGTTTTCAAGAGTCTGGACTCTAGATCCAATGTGTTTTTTTTTTCCAGCAAACGCTCTATAGGGGAGAGGGGGTCAAAAAGTGCGTTGTTACGCCATTTTGTTTTAACGTGTTGAAGTATAGGGACCTCGTCACAAAAGCGTCACAGGGGGAGGGGGGTGGCGTCAAAAATGCGGGAAAAGTCCATCACGTAATTTAGGGACTGCCCATTAGGAATCACGATTTCCGGCTCATTTTAGAAACAACACGTACGGCAATAGTGTCCCTATGCAGATTAGTGTTTTTGTCAACTTACGAGCCAGAAATTTTAGCTCCTTATCGCAAAATGCAGTTC